ATTAAAGCAAAATTGCAGGAGGTTACCAGAAGTAGAATTTCTCATTCTGTCCTGATGTAATCAGTTTCTGCAATACTTTCATATGTTGCTTCAACAAGCCCACAGACAAAGCACCGCTTCCCACACCTGAGAGACAAGTTCTGGTACTGGGCCTCTTAAGAATTGGTGTAAGCCATTACGCTCAGCACAGGCCCTAAACTCCACTCAGTCACTTTGGAGAGTGAAGCCTGGGGCAGAGACTGTGCTGAAACTATCAGCAGCACCATATTTTCCAGCACCCTCTCACCACAGAGAGAAGCTCAATGGGCAAACAGATGGTAACAATTCTCAGGAACTGAAAAGGCCAGGATTCAAATGGGAGGCCAGAGGTGAAAAGGACTCAGGAGCTCACACGTGGAAGCTATCTGGAAGCTATTTGTCAAGTCCTGGAGAGACATGCAAGGGCAAAACCCAGCTGTGCTAAGGATATGGAATTCCCACCCTGGAGCCATTAGCAGCCCAAAGCCCAGACCTCAGTGCACCAGGGTCACACACTGGGTCCTTGATCACGAGAGCCAAGTGCTGATCTGCAGCCTCTGTGCAATCAGTATTGACTCAAAGGACATTTTCGGTGCTGATCACCTCACCATTGCCCAGCCCAACAAAAATGCCATTATTGAAACATACAGCAGAAGGAAAATGGTCTTGATATTACACAGCTACGCCCAAATCAGCTAAGCCCCATCAGGCACTATATCCAGGCCGTTCCAGTGTCAAATTGAGATGAAGATCCACTCATTTGCCCTGCACAAACTAGTCAGCCACCAAAGGGGGTGCAGAGCCTGCAAGGAGCAATCCAAATGTTAGCACAGGATGCATTTTTCTCTTCTGATAGCTTTTTTCATCCTAGCATCTCAATGCATTTCAAAGAATGCACTAAGTCTCCAAAATAATATGGTATTGACACTCTGTAGAGGAAGCCAAATAAAGAGCAACTGAAATCACTTGGCTTGCTTAGCCTGAAGAAGAGGAGACTGAAAGGAGACCTCACTGCAGTCTAGAACTTCCTTATGAGGAGAAGCAGAGGGGCAGGAACTGCTCTCTTCTCTGTGGTGACCAGTGACAGGACCCAAGGAAATGGACTGAAGCTGTGTCAGGGGAAGTCTGGGTTAGATATAAAAGGTTCTTCACCCAGAGGGTGGTTGGGCACTCTAAGAGGCTCCCCAGGTTAGTGGTCACGGTACCAAGCTCAAGAAGTATTTGGACAACACTCTCAGGCACATGGTGCGATTCTTGGAGCTGTCCTGTGCAGGACCAGGAGTTGGACTTCTAGGTCCTTTCTAATCCATGAATTTCTGGTTGTCTATTCATACAAGCAGCCAAACCACTGCAGAAAGCTCTGAGCATATCGTGAAACCTGTCTAATCATTTTGCAGTGTACCTGGAAATATACCCATGTACCCATACGCTCTGCCTCGTACTTCAAAATTATGCTTTCCATATCAGCCACCTACCCACACAAAGAATTTGGACTGTTTGTTGTACCACCCCAAAGCTGCTCTCCCTCCAAGAGACCTCTCTCCCTGCAAATGCTACACTCCGACTTCACAAGCTTCTGTGAGTAGATTTCAAAAGGTGCTCCTGGCAGCCCCATTGAACATCACAGGAGGCTCCTTTACTTCCTCTTTGTTTACACAACATGCCAAGACCAATTAGTTCCCTGGGAATGAGCTCAGCAGCTACAAGAAGTCTTTGTGACACCCTAGGCTTCTTTATACTTCAGGTGAGCCCGGTGCCTTCACCTAGAACCAAAGGATGTCCATGCTCTCTTTGACCTTGTGCTCTCAGCATTGCCAAAAAAGCCAGATATGCTAAAGGGGCAACAGCCAGGCTTCATTAAATAGCAAGTGGTTGGCAGCAGGGCCTGCATGCAATGACCTGTCTGTCCAGGGACCATGACCAAGGGGTGCTGGGAGAGGGCATTCACTGCAGCAATGTGAGTATCTGCACAAGCCAGGGCATTTCTGCCCAATTAGGGGAAAGAATAGAAGCCTTCTGAGCTAATTTTCTAGTTCTTTGGAGAGGTGAAGAAAAGCATGCATTGAAATATCCTCACTCGGCCTCAACAGGGAGGCACTGGGTGGCCAGCTGACCAGCCAGGGTGGGAAATACATCCACCAACAGTCCAAACTCATGACTGGAACACAAAAAGACTGGATTACTGTACCCTGCGAAGCTGGAAAGGCATAGACTGGCATCTAACCAAAATGGGGCTATTTAAACCTGTTCCTGGTACAGCTTTCCCTGCTGCAGGAGGCTGAACTGAAGGGCATGGATGATGGAGACTTCCATTTACTCACAGGCCAAGAAAGCAATTCCCTAACTTCTTAAAAGCACTCTGAATGCCTTCAACCCACTTGTCTCCCAAATTTGCTCCTCTTTTCTACCAAAAGGCACTAAATCACAGGAATACAGGGAAACATTTGGACACCACTTGCCATTGACCCATGGGAAGAAGCAAAATCTTCTTAAACATCCAACACAGAGCCACTCTACACCACAACACTCTGGACCAATATTCCATCACCATCCAACATAAACAGAACTTGATGCAAAGCACTTGGCATCTCTTCATCCACCCTTGAGTTACCCATACCACATCACACCCCCAAAGTGCCTTCTTATCTCATAACACATTTGCTTCAGGCACAAATTCATCTTGCCTGATACTCTTTGTCATCTGTCAGCAGCACAGAGCTGCAGGAATGGGAAGTAAGGCTCAGGGATAAGAGTGAAAGCCACATCTGCTGCTCAAAAAAAAAAAGGTCTAGCTGATAAACTTTTCAGCTGTGTTCTCATGGGCAAGCATCTGATAGCAAGGATAAGAACCACAAAGGAAGAAAAGCTTGAAGTTCGGAGCCCAGATGAAGCCTTAGAGTAGCCTGTTTAATATTAACATTCCTCATATGCATTGTTTACCTGACTAAGAAACACAGGATGCCACACACTGCCCCAGGCAGTTAATAAGAGCCTTTTTAGTTGGGAAAATGGAAACAGACCAAAAAACAAACAAAACAAACACCCTGGTCCCATTTTATAAGTTGGGAATGGGGGTCCTGAATGATTTTCATAGGAGAAATAAGTACAGGTAGCAAGCAAAGACTCATCATAAAGCTTCAAGATCTTACTGGCTGAAAGTTAACCAATTAAAATTCTAAAAATAAATATAAATGACCAAATAAAATATTCAGGCTGCATCTCACTTTTTGCATGTGTGTGTCATGTCATGTTGTGCCCTCAGTACACTTTCTTTCAAGTTAAATTCACCAGCTGATTATCCTTTCTTTATAACATGGATTCCACAACCACAGAATGTTATTGACATCCACAGAACAAATGTTATTGAAAAAAAAAAAAACCACACTGCCACCTCCACTCCAGATCTCAACTTCTTTTGCAAAAATGTTTGCCGCAATTAATCCAGAAGTGTAGAGAGCAAACGGACAAGGAAGCCAATTACTCTCACAAGGTTTCCTCAGAAAAAAACAACAGTTTGGAAAGCTTGTTGAAATTAGCCCCTACCTTCTTCAATACACTCCTAAACATAGTGCTGAAAGGAGCTTAAGGGAGAGCAGGCAGATGCTATGCCTGGGATCCAAATCAGAGAAATCACCTGGGCCAAAAGAAACATTTCCCCATTTACTCATGTACTCATGTGCATGCTGAAAAAATAGAAGGCTGGGCACAGGCTTAGCAGCTTTCTTCTCTCATAAGGATGTGAGACTAATTAAAGTCTGTCAGTATCAGTAGAAGATTTGGGTGATGTGAAATGCAAGACTGGGCCTTTTGAATGTTCTGTGAGCAGAAACTTGGCTAGAAGGTTGAAAAGGGGGTGAGGAAAACTGTACTGAAAACACAAGTCTCTGCATTATGTATTCATGGGATGTATGCTGCCAGCAGGACTGAGAAAAACCAACAATGTAATAGGGAAATAGAAATCTCACTTTTAGAGATCTTAGAAAATAAATGCATGGTCCTTTCTTTTAGCTTTCTTTTAGTGGGTCCATCTTGTAGGCTTAAAGGAAGAGTTGCGAGCAAGGTTAAAACTAGTACATCCAACCAACCAGAGGCAGTGAAATTCTTTCCTAATGAGAGGAAACTCAGAACTGAAAATAATTGTTTTTAACTTACTGCAATGTACCAGGGCCAGCAGATGTCTACAGATATCCTTCTAAACTGACATTACAGCAGTGCAAATAGGAAAAAAAATAATGAAGAGACATGAAATAACTAACTATACAGCAAGGCCTTTAGAAAGACAGGCGCCAGATGGGAACTGCACAGGGCAGTCTGCCCCATTTCCCAGGCTCTGCAGAGACAAGGCAAACTTCTGGCATTTCCACACCTCGGTCTCAGGCCAAACTAAAGTCCTGCAAAATCAAGAGTAACTGCATCTAGAGCAAACTGTAAGCAGTTTGTAAAGTGTTAAGAATGTAAAAAGCATTCTTTTACATTGCTATAAAACTCCTAGGAGGCATAAAGAGGTCTAGGCCCAAGGAGGTCAACAAGCGTGAAAATTCCTATCATCATCAAGTCAACAACAACTTTCACCAAAGGCTCTTTTTATACATCCTAAGCAATTAATTTATTTTGGAGTAAGTGATCATGGAAGTAGTGGTAACTCGATGAAAGCAAATACCAGTGATTTTGTTCCTGTGCCATGCAATGAACTGAACAGTACAAGTGCTGCCTTCTTCATGGAAAAGCAAGAGAACAGCCCAGCTGTAGCAGGAGTCACCCAAGAAACAGTGCCTTTACCTCTCAGGAGAGGTATCTACACTTACCCCAATTTACCCTAGAGAGACAGCAGAAGTACCCTGAAGGTATGCCCCTGAAGACATGACCACAAGAAGCAACCCTATAAATTTACTCATCCTTGCTTTAATAACCCTTTTCTGTCTTTGCTTACCATCCCCTTTTTCCAAGCAATGCTGCTTTCCTCACGTGAAGTTCTGCCTTACCTGCTGCATCTTTTCCAGGTCAAGGCTGGGCCTGCTGACCTTATCCCCGTATCCTTGCCGATGTCTCTTACAAGGCATGACTTGCTCGAGGCCCGCCCCAACGCCCGTGAGGATTAAAGGTCCGGAGGCCGGGCTGCACACCAGAGGCTGGAGTCTCTTGGGAGGGGAGGCACTGAACAGCACGGGGCTGGGGCTGGCGTGGAGGCCATCGCCCTGCTCTGCCACGGGCCGGAAGGACATGGCGCACAAGTTCTTCACTTCTTCGTCGCTGGAGGAGGAGGTGTTGTTGCCGTCGCTGCAGCACGTGAGCCGGCTGACCTGGGACCACTTGCGCTTCTCCGCGGCAAACTCCCGGTTGATGCGCTCCAGCTCCTCTTCCGAGCTGTGGCGGTCAAGGCTGGCATGGAAGAGGGCTCGAACCTTGCAGCATTGGTTCTCCTGGTTCTGGAGCTGGTTGGTGGCCAGAGGAGTCAGGGAACAATTCCGTCTTCTCTCTAGTGGGAGGAGGAGATCGAGAAGTGGCAGAGCAGATCTGTGTCCCGCAGCCTAATAAAATGGGTCTGTTTTCTCCTGACCTGTTGGTTTCATCTCCACCTAAATAAACTTCTGAGCTGTTTCCCCACCTTTTCTTCCCCAGATGAAACACCTCCCAGCTGAATGTTTCCCTTTGGAAATTTCCAGACCACTGCTAGATGTCGTCTCCTTTCAAACCATCACCTGGAAGTCTAATTCCAGAGAAAGAACGTAGATCTGTTACCCACCTCACCTCCTCAAGGTGGAGAAGACATGAGCTTACAAATGTGTTGCTAGGCACTTGCCTCTAGCCAAAAACATTAACTTCTAGTGATCAGTTCTAAGGGCAGAAGAGCTAAGTAAGTTATGCTATTCTAAGCATCACCTTTATGGCTCAAATAAATGGGATATGGTTTCTGAAAATAAAAGTCCTCTATTACAAGACTTGTCACACAAGAGATACTTGTCACTTCAGCCACAAGCTAGGCATGCTTTATCACTTCTGCTGAGGTCTTTCTATGTTAAGCATATGGAGCAGGGATTTGAATTTTAACAGGACATGTCCTGTGGGTCAGGAATTGACTTCTGCTGCCTCTGCGTAAGAATCCACTTGAACCTGGGCACAGGGCATCTACTAATGGCAAACTTTGCGTAACTTAAGAGATGCACTTACAACAACTGCAGATTTCACCTGCAGTTGTTCTAAGCTACGTCACGTCAAATCCAAAAACAACAGCAGAGCATCTGTATCTTCTCTATCAGACTCTCACTAGATGCAAGAATAGAGCTGCACAATACCAACAGTCTTGGAGGAAGGGAGATAATCAAATAATGAGTCCAGGGGAATGAAGAAACTGAAGGTAAAAACTCAAAATAGCAAGGATGAGGAAACCCAAAACAAAGATGACACAAGTGCAAAAGCATAGAATAGAAAGAAATTTTTAGTCCCAGCTCTGCTGCTGGCACAATTGCGAACCATCTCTGCCCCATGTCTGCAGCACTGGGACTTTAACATATGGTTAACAATGTCTATTTCTGGTGGTGCAACTGATATATCTGGTAACACCAGCCTCTCCCTGTGAGGTCCCAAATATTCAAAGGTGACTGATTTAATGCATCTGATTGTGATACACTGGGGACTGAGAAGGAAGCACTTGCAAGAGCACAAGTGAAAAGAAAAACTGACTTCAGTCGTAGCATCCCAGGATCCTTCTATCTTCATCCCTTTACCTCTGTCGATCTGAGCAAGTTCCTGGTTCTCTCCCTCAGAGTCATCGCTGTCCTCATCACTTGGAGGATAGGAGATCTGGGGGACAAGGAGAAAGCAAAGGCTTAATCATGAGCACTGAACATTGCCCTGCTGCTGCCCAAGCCCCAAGCCACTTCCTCCCCCTCTCATATCCTGCAGGCATCCACCTCACCTAACCGCACACACCCAGCCACAGCACCTTCCTGTATACACATCCTCATCTCCCAACCCCGATCTCCCATCGTATCCTCTCACCTTCAGCAACACAGAACACACGGCCTACTGCTGCTTCCACCACACTGCACTGCCAGCTCTTTCCCAAGTACAATGAGCATATCCTGCCTTACACTTCCCAGACATGTAGCTTACAACCATCATGGCCTACCACATCCACATCACGTGGATAACTGAACCTCCAAAATCTCCACTGCCTAGATAAAGACACATCCTGTCAACAGCACTATCATCTTGCAAGGCACCCACAACTGGAAGTGGCACGTTAGCTTTAGCCATCCTGTGTATGTACCCACAGTTCCCCCTTAAAGTTCACACACAATCCACCACAAAACAGACTCACCTTGCTTTCCTACAGGACAACCCTGTAGTATTTAATAGAAATAAAAGAAGCATGATTTCCCAGAAACAGACAATACTGTTATGCTGTCCCCTCTAGGAGATAATTACAGTACCAATGAATACCTTTGAATGCTCCAAGAGTAAAAACAATTCACATATTTTGTCAATATCAAAACTTTTCAGGAATGTTTGCTGTGTGACAGCCAATGGACTTCAAGCTACCCACTCAAAACATGTCTAACACTGAACAGACCTGGCAGCTGCCTCTTGAGAGGATTGAAAGATCTGAAACCAAGCTTTTATAGGTCAGATAGATCATACTGCTTCTGAGTTTCCAACACAGAGGAAATCCTACCTACCTTGTTACTAAAGTAACTTTTGTTCAGCTGCATAGAGCCTACCTGGAAATTATTAGATTAAACTTCAGAGCTACACAGCTTAGTATGTGTCCCTGGCAGCAGCCAAAACCAAATGAGTCAAAGGAAAATGCAATGCTTAAAAGAAACAGTTCTGGAATAACATGGTCACAACAAGATTAACTTCATTATTCCTTACACCTTTTTATTCAGAATAACAAACACGGCCATCATTCCTAGCTGCCTCAAAATACTTGCTCACAACAGAATCCAGTGGCAATACAATTCAAAAGGCTACATGCTACGTTTCTATTTTACACGTTTCATGCACAGTGCTTGACTTTTTATGGAAGAGGAGGCAAGCATGCAGCCATTACACCGATTTGGATCCATTTTACCTCCACCAACCTGGGGAAATGTCTCTGTAGTGTTTCAGCCACCCAGAGACACAAAACAGCAGCTACATTGAACTAGGTGTCTACGAAAGACACGCTGCTGATGCAGAGAAACAATAACATTCGGGAAATTCTGATTAATACTGAATTTGACAGCTATTAAATCAACACATCTATTTTGTAACCATCCTCCAGGATTGTTTGGGGCATTTTGTTCCCCCCAAGAGCATATTGACACCTTTTTTCCCCTTTCTTCTTTAAAGCTACCTTTTGCCCTTTTGTATTTACATTGCCCTTTGAGAAATCAAAATATATTTTCCTTCCTTGCAAGTCTTTAAACTACATTCTCAACTGTCAAAAGATGAATTGAGCAAGTCAGATTTCAGATTTATCCCCACTGCAGATATTCCTGAAGTAAACACAGGACGCTGTTTTTCCTTCTACAACTACAATTTTCTTGTATGTGTTCACACACATGCATCATTTAATAAAGGCAGCTGGCACTGAGGAACACTGCCAAACACAGAGACTCCTAGCTGTCCCCAGAGCAGGTATAATACCTTGTTTGTACCATGGTAGTTCACAGAGGGGACAGCTGACACTGAGGTGCCATTGTGTAGCTGCTGTACAGACAGACAGAGGTCCTGTCTCCGTTACAAAAGCTAAGGCTTCCATTCTAACTCGAGAGGTACTGACCTTAGCCTGTGGCTCATTCCCACATAAAAACCTTTCATTTGGACACGGCAGGGTTTTCAGCGAGGTTTAGCAGCTCTGCGTGGGAAACCTAGCAGCTCCAGTTTCTGTACAATGTGAATGTCAATGCATGGCATGGCACCGCTTCCAAAAAAAAGCCAATGACATCTAGCACATGCAGGTCAAACAGCTACTGCACAATGTCACTGGCTTGAGATGCTTAAGATAGGAGTTGGATTTGAGTCAATGACTGATATTTGAAGGTCTTTGTGTCTACCAGTCCTGCGTTTCCAAAATATTCACTCTTCCCTGTGCAAGTGCAATTTTGCCGGCCCTTGGCCTCATATGGGTAACTCTCCTCTACTGAGACTTCCCCAGCCCCCCAGGCAACCAAAGAGCAATTCCCCTGTGAGTTGCCTTAAACACGTTGCTAGAGGCTTTCTTCAGAGCACCTAAAAGAAAAATCTTTCAAACAAGAGACTAACTTTCATGTCCCCCAACAGAGAACCATCATTCACAGTTAATGTGATTCATTAATCTTGCAGAGCCAAAATTTTTTACCTGAAACTCCTTGCCACAATACCCCACACAGGCAAAGATTAATAGAATATTAAAAAAGGATTCTCTGTCTGTCTGGATAACAAAACTTTCCAAAAACTGAAGATCTATGGAATCAAAGACTAATGCTCTGACTAGCTAGAGATAAATATTCTCTCCCTTGACTCTTCCCAGGCTTTAATAGTAACCTTTTCCTAAACATTCAAAAATATTCACTAAACATAGCAGTACTGTGTTCAGGCCTCCAGCCTCCCTTGTACAGTCCCTATCATGTATTAGCCACAGATTTTCTTTTGTCCAAGGCAGTACAGCCCCATTTTCCTCAGAAATTCAGAGCTGTGGCACTGCTGCAGCAGAAAATACAAAAACTCCATGTCAAAAGTCTCACCCGATCATGGCTTCATTCACAGAACATCAATTGCAGAACTGTTTAGACTGAAAGACACATTATCGTATCACAATAGCCCAAGCTCTTGCTCAAGCTGGAACAACTAGAAAAGTTGCCTGGACTGTGCCCAACACACTCTCTTCCTTAACAAACAAAATTGAAGAGAACAGAATAAAATCAATTCACATAGATGTGTGAATGTCTACAAGCTATGGCACAAAAGCAGCCAAAAACCAACAGACAGGTGGCCATCCACCCTTCAGTCTTTCCTCAGTAAATGCATCAGAAAGATGGGGATCTCAGAATTACACCTGGGTCCTTCAGCTCTGGCACCTGACATGCCTTCAGTCAGGATAAAGATTCCTTCTGTGCCAGACAGAAGCATCAACCAACTTCCCCATGCATTTCATGTTTCATCCATCTCTAGTAAGGAAATATGGGTTGGTGTAAAATAACCAGATGGCATTTAAGGTAAACTTAAAATTTACACTTTTGAGGGAGTTTTAACATGAAAGACAAACTAGGAGATACAAAAAAAAAACTAGAGACAGAAAAACGTCTCTCATTACACTGCTGCATGTCAACTGATTAATAAACTGCAGATGAAATTGCCCAGATCCTAAAGGGTCACATCATCCTCAAAGTCTAAAGCTCTGAAATACATCAGACAATAAAAAAATCCCACTATGTTAAAGTAGAGTTTCTCTTGGCTTGGCTTTCAGAAGAGAAATTTTCCTGCTATCATACAATCAAAAGCAATGACATTAAGAATCATTTGTGAGCTTACAAAGGATAAGAAATCTCACTTCTAAGGCAGAATAAAACTCTCCCAACAGGCTTCACTTAAAGGCTGTCTTGTCCTAAAAACCAAAAACACCAACAGCATGGTTTGGTGCAGTGGAGGTATATTCATGAGAAAGAGATAATACAAAGATACTACTGACCACAGGCAACCCCTTGTTCCCAGCTTGAATAAAGAATGAACACAGGCTGGAGGGCATCATTTCCAATCTCCCTCTGGGAGCAGGGGAGGGAGGGAAGGAGGGAGTTTACCTCCAGGGAGGTGGTTTCCCTGGCAGAAGCCAATACTGCCCGTGCTGCACATATAAGGCTGTTTTTGACACAGGCTTGTTCGCTTCAAGCCACCCACTCCAGGGAGTCTCTGCAACTAAGTGAAGTCCCTTCCAAGAGCCCTGGAAAGAGACTTTGCTAAGTTGGTCTCACACCCTGGTTCCTGGCACAAAACCAGAAAGCAATAGATGAGGTCAACAGTGACTACTGGTATCTCTGTGACAGGGAACTGATTTCCATTTCTTCAGACTTCAGACTGGAGAAATGAAACCAGTACTCACTCACCTCCCCCCTGCCACACTGCCTACAGAGCAGCTGCTACAGACATGGGTACCCTATAGCACAGGGCTCTGCTGCTGGCTCTTCTCCATTTCCATTGCTTGGCTTTAGCAAAAACGTACCACTAGTGTTATTTTTCCAGGTCAACAACTGGTACAGTTGCCATGAGACACTGCCTGATCTTGAATGAGGGAGGTGCCATCCTGCCAATTACAAGAAACTCTGAAATAGAGAGTGTTGGAAAACAAGGTAGATGATGAGACACTGAAAGGCAGTTTGAGCCATGGAACATTAGGAAGGAAGGAATGAGTCAAACAAGCCTTCAAATTAACATGTAACTCCTTTCCCAATATCTCCTTTAATTTTGAGAGATATTCAGTATTACAGGGAGAATTTATGCTAGTACAACAGGCTGGTTCTCTCCACGAAAAGTTGCTGAGTTAAAGTTCAGTTCAATCTTTAAACATTCACATGTAAGATGTGACTGCCCAGGTTATATCTGGGGTATACAGCCAGGGTCCTTCAACAGCTAAACTCCCAGCAAGAACCATCCTGGTTTGGAAAAGCTTTTCTAGAGTATTTTTGACATGTTGCTATGTCCCTTTTTAATTTTCACAGTAGGTCTGCCTTCAAACTCTATTCTCCATTTCCTTGCAAATGGCTGCAAGTTCAAACCCAGAGCTCATAACCCTTGAACATGGTCCTGCTTGACAGAGCAGCTGTCTGAGTAAACGAAAGCAG